GCTCCATGTCTAGTTGGCAGCCGGTGTCAAGTGGAGTGCCCCAGGGGTCGGTCCTGGGGCTGGTTTTGTTCAATATCTTCATAAATGATCTGGAGGATGGTGTGGATTGCACTCTCAGCAAATTTGCGGATGATACTAAACTGGGAGGAGTGGTTGATATGCTGGAGGGCAGGGATAGGATACAGAGGGACCTAGACAAATTGGAGGATTGGGCCAAAAGAAATCTGATGAGATTCAATAAGGGTAAGTGCAGGGTCCTGCACTTAGGACGGAAGAACCCAATGCACCGCTACAGACTAGGGACCGAATGGCTAGGCAGCAGTTCTGTGGAAAAGGACCTAGGGGTGACAGTGGACGAGAAGCTGGATATGTGTCAGCAGTGTGCCCTTGTTGCCAAGAAGGCCAATGGCATTTTGGGATGTATAAGTAGGGGCATAGCGAGCAGATCGAGGGATGTGATCGTCCCCCTCTATTCGACATTGGTGAGGCCTCATCTGGAGTACTGTGTCCAGTTTTGGGCCCCACACTACAAGAAGGATGTGGATAAATTGGAGAGAGTCCAGCGAAGGGCAACAAAAATGATTAGGGGTCTGGAACACATGACTTATGAGGAGAGGCTGAGGGAACTGGGATTGTTTAGTCTGCAGAAGAGAAGAATGAGGGGGGATTTGATAGCTGCTTTCAACTACCTGAGAGGTAGTTCCAGAGAGGATGGTTCTAGACTATTCTCAGTGGTGGAAGAGGACAGGACAAGGAGTAATGGTCTCAAGTTGCAGTGGGGGAGGTTTAGGTTGGATATTAGGAAAAACTTTTTCACTAGGAGGGTGGTGAAACACTGGAATGCGTTGCCTAGGGAGGTGGTGGAATCTCCTTCCTTAGAAGTTTTTAAGGTCAGGCTTGACAAAGCCCTGGCTGGGATGATTTAATTGGGTATGGGTCCTGCTTTTGAGCAGGGGGTTGGACTAGATGACCTCCTGAGGTCCCTTCCAACCCTGATATTCTATGATTCTATGATTCTATGAACTATAGGCATTTCAACATCCCCAACGGTTATTTTCTGGTCTGGGAATAAAGTCCCTTCCTGCAGCTTTTGAAACAGACCAGAGTTCCTGAAGATGTGAGTGTCATGTACCTTTCCCGGCCATCCCACGTTGATGTTGGTGAAACGTCCCTTGTGATCCACCAGTGCTTGCAGCACTATTGAAAAGTACCCCTTGCTGTTTATGTACTCGCTGGCTTGGTGCTCCGGTGCCAAGATAGGGATATGGGTTCCGTCTATGGCCCCACCACAGTTAGGGAATCCCATTGCAACAAAGCCATCCACTATGACCTGCACATTTCCCAGGGTCATTACCCTTGATATCAACAGATCTTTGATTGCGTTGGCTACTTGCATCACAGCAGCCCCCACAGTAGATTTGCCCACTCCAAATTGATTCCCGACTAACCGGTAGCTGTCTGGCGTTGCAAGCTTCCACACAGCTATTGCCACTTGCTTCTCAACTGTGAGGGCTGCTCTCATCTTGGTATTCTTGTGCCTCAGGGCAGGGGAAAGCAAGTCACAAAGTTCCATGAAAGTGCCCTTATGCATGTGAAAGTTTCGCAGCCACTGGGAATCGTCCCAGACCTGCAACACTATGCGGTCCCACCAGTCTGTGCTTGTTTCCTGGCCCCAGAATTGGCGTTCCACACCATGAACCTTCCCCATTAGCACCATGATGCCCACATTGCCAGGGCCCGTGCTTTGAGAGAAGTCTGTGTCCATGTCCTCATCACTCTCGTCACCACACTGACGTCGCCTACTCGCCCGGTTTCGCTTTGCCAGGTTCTGGTGCTGCATATACTGCTGGATAATGTGTGTGGTGTTTAATGTGCTCCTAATTGCCAAAGTGATCTGAGCGGGCTCCATGCTTGCCGTGGTATGGCGTCTGCACAAGTAACTCAAGAAAAAAGACGCAAAATGATTGTCTGCCCTTGCTTTAATGGAGGGAGGGAGGGAACGGGGGCCTGACGATATTTACCCAGAACCACCCGCGACAATGTTTTAGCCCCATCAGGATCTTAACCCACAATTCCAATGGGCAGCGGAGACTGCGGGAACTGTGGGATAGCTACCCACAGTGCAACGCTCTGGAAGTCGACGGTTGCCTCAGTACTGTGGACACACTCCGCCGACTACATGCACTTAGAGCATTTGTGTGGGGACACACACAATCGACTGTATAAAAATGCTTTCTACAAAACCAACTTCTATAAATTCGACCTAATTTCGTAGTGTAGACATACCCTATGTTAGATATTTACTTGCCCCTCTTCCATACCCCAGCAAGACAGGACAGGGCTGTTATCCCCATTAAACAAATGTGAGGGGAGAGAGAGTGCATGTGTGTGTGGGGAGGATGCAATTCTCCAGCAGGCTGGGGACCCTTGGGAAGTGGTATGTTGGCAAGCACTGATTTTATCACAGTCTGGGCAGCAACAGGAAAAAAACCAGAGGAACTGAAAATCACTGGCCAGTGGCCACTTCACTGTGTTGCTCAAAGGCCAGACTTTGTTGTTGCTTTTGGCTTCCTCCAGGACTGCGCTCTGACTGCCTGGGCTGTGGGGGCTCTTCTGAGTGGGCCATAAAATTAAACAGTTTCATAACCCAGGAGAGAAATCAGTAAACAGCTCAGGGATTAGGGAAGCCAGCGGAGTGGTCTCACAAAGGACAAGTCTTGCTGGACAAACCTGACCGGGGCTTTGCAATGTTGTTGTAGCCGTGTTGGTCCCAGGATATTAGAGAGCCAAAGTGAGAGACAGAGTGTTGGTAGGTGAAGGGCTCTGGATTTTAGTGCAGCCCTTGACAGAGGACATATCTGGGACATCTTTTCAGAATGCCTAGTAGTCCAGGTTACCTAAACAGGCATTTCTTTGGCACCCCTAGAGCAAGAGACAAGAGCGGTTGATGCTAGAGGCACACACCGTAACACAGTAATGTCTGAAGCAGCTTTATTACATCGGCATATAAAATGAGCTCAGAATAGGAACGACTGGCACAGTTTAACTCCTGCTTGATGCCCCTTGCAGCCAATGATTTTAGTTTATCATCCAGTTATTGGGTGATGTTATGATTAATTACCATGTCATGTTACACATAAGCATTGTATGGTAAATTGAGTTAAGTTGTAGGGTGGTAGAAGTATAAGCTTGAACAGTAGTTAGAGGGAATCAGGGATTAGATAGCTAAGGAAGAAAGGCTGAAATGTAAGACCTGTAGGCTGAGGCCTGCAAGATTTTAGCTTAGCTATTTTAGGCCCTGGAGCTAAGAAATGCTGACAAAATTAAGTGACTGAAGAATAACCCGATGCACTGAGATGATGGGAAAAGAGGCACCAAGGGGTAACATTGCAAAAAATTAGCTGGAAGATTAATTTTAAATCATAAAAATGTGGTAGAGGCCCACATGTGTCAATGCCAATGAGAATAAAGAGAACCTACATGACCTATAGAAATTGGGGTCCTGTCTGTTTCTAGAGAACATCAGACCAATAAGGAAAAAGAGGGGTGACACTTGCATGTACATGTGCAGAATGTAAGTATAGGGAGAATCACATTATAAAAAGGGGATGCTCAGAGCAGGAAAATTGAGCTTCCTATGGGCAAACTCCAGGAGGAAGCATCCCTCCTCAGGCCCTACGCTACCAGCACTCCCAGCTACCTTCGAGACACCACTGACTTCCTGAGGAAACTTCAATCCATCGGTGATCTTCCTGATAACACCATCCTGGCTACTATGGATGTAGAAGCCCTCTACACCAACATTCCACACAAAGATGGACTACAAGCCGTCAAGAACACTATCCCCGATAATGTCACGGCTAACCTGGTGGCTGAACTTTGTGACTTTGTCCTTACCCATAACTATTTCACATTTGGGGACAATGTATACCTTCAGATCAGCGGCACTGCTATGGGTACCCGCATGGCCCCACAGTATGCCAACATTTTTATGGCTGATTTAGAACAACGCTTCCTCAGCTCTCGTCCCCTAAAGCCCCTACTCTACTTGCGCTATATTGATGACATCTTCATCATCTGGACCCATGGAAAAGAAGCCCTTGAGGAATTCCACCATGATTTCAACAATTTCCATCCCACCACCAACCTCAGCCTGGTCCAGTCCACACAAGAGATCCACTTCCTGGACACTACAGTGCTAATAAACAATGGTCACATAAACACCACCCTATACCGGAAACCTACTGACCGCTATTCCTACCTGCATGCCTCCAGCTTTCACCCTGACCACACCACACGATCCATCGTCTACAGCCAAGCTCTGCGATACAACCGCATTTGCTCCAACCCCTCAGACAGAGACAAACACCTACAAGATCTCTGTCAAGCTTTCTTACAACTACAATACCCACCTGCAGAAGTAAAGAAACAGATTGATAGAGCCAGAAGAGTTCCCAGAAGTTACCTACTACAGGACAGGCCTAACAAAGAAAATAACAGAACGCCACTAGCGGTCACCTTCAGCCCCCAACTAAAACCCCTCCAACGCATTATTAAGGATCTACAACCTATCCTAAAGGATGACCCAACACTCTCACAAGTCTTGGGAGACAGGCCAGTCCTTGCCTACAGACAGCCCCGCAACCTGAAGCAAATACTCACCAACAACCACATACCACACAACAGAACCACTAACCCAGGAACTTATCCTTGCAACAAAGCCCGTTGCCAATTGTGCCCACATATCTATTCAGGGGACACCATCACAGGGCCTAATAACATCAGCCACACTATCAGAGGCTCGTTCACCTGCACATCCACCAATGTGATATATGCCATCATGTGCCAGCAATGCCCCTCTGCCATGTACATTGGTCAAACTGGACAGTCTCTACGTAAAAGAATAAATGGACACAAATCAGATGTCAAGAATTATAACATTCATAAACCAGTCGGAGAACACTTCAATCTCTCTGGTCACGCAATCACAGACATGAAGGTCGCTATCTTACAACAAAAAAACTTCAAATCCAGACTCCAGCGAGAAACTGCTGAATTGGAATTCATTTGCAAATTGGATACTATTAATTTAGGCTTAAATAGAGACTGGGAGTGGCTAAGTCATTATGCAAGGTAGCCTGTTTCCTCTTGTTTTTTCCTACCCCCCCCCCCCCAGATGTTCTGGTTTAACTTGGATTTAAACCTGGAGAGTGGTCAGTTTAGATGAGCTATTACCAGCAGGAGAGTGAGTTTGTGTGTGTATGGGGGTGGGGGGGATGTGAGAAAACCTTGATCTATGCAGGAAATAGCCCGACTTGATTATGTAAAGAGTTGTCACTTTGGATGGGCTAGCACCAGCAGGAGAGTGAATTTGTGTGGGGGGGTGGAGGGTGAGAAAACCTGGATTTGTGCTGGAAATGGCCCACCTGTTGATCACTTTAGATAAGCTATTACCAGCAGGACAGTGGGGTGGGAGGAGGTATTGTTTCATATTCTCTGTGTGTATATAAAGTCTGCTGCAGTTTCCACGGTAAACATCTGATGAAGTGAGCTGTAGCTCACGAAAGCTCATGCTCAAATAAATTGGTTAGTCTCTAAGGTGCCACAAGTACTCCTTTTCTTTTTGCATCCCTGTACTGATGATCAATCCATGAGAGACCCACCTGACCCTAATGCTGTCTAGGAGGATGCAAGTCTGGCTGCAGTTAGAACTGGTGCCTGGATAGATCTAGGCATTGTATATGCTGTGATACTCATAACTGTGTTGGTAACGTTAATAAAATGGATACAAGATAATAGACCTTCTTCTTATGATTGTCTGTTACTTGCTTATGGCTTCATGTGTTCCTATGAGCTCTAGAGCTAAAACAGGCAGAGAGAGCTCTGCTGAACTGTAAAAACAACAAGGAGTCCTTGTGGCCCCTTAGAGGCCCCTTAGTGGCTCAAATTAGTCTCTAATTTGTTAGTCTGTTGAACTGTAGCTGCCAGAGCCAAGCCCTCGATGGTGTAATAGAACAGCACTAAAGTTACCTTTAAATAAAAATAAAGGCTACCTACACCCCAATGGTGTAGGAAGACTGGTGATGATGATGGCTTGACACAGGGTCAGATTTTCTGAGGTGGGGAGAGCCCAGGTCAGTGTCTCACCAAATCCTGCTATAATGTGAAATTCACCCCGTGCACAGGGCCTGTATGAAGCCAAGACATCATTAAAAGCCTAAAAAAGTGGGACTGAAGCTGGTCCTCGCCCTAATGCTGGCTTCTCACACAGGAGCGAACCCTGTTCACTCTGATTCCAACTGCTGGGTGTGGGTATCCTGTTCTGTGGGTGGGGACAGGGCTAAAAGAACCAAAGCCAAAGGGGGAAGTATCAAATGAAGTGTTGGCCAGGGGTAAACAGCAAGGCATGGAGCTGGGAATGTGTGTTGTGCAAGGACTGGCCTCATCCAACATCTTCATTACTGAGCTGGGCAGTGGGAGAAAGCCACATGCTGACGAACTCTGCAGATGGCACTAGGCCAGGAGGAGCTGTGAGCACCAGGGAGAGGAACAGGAATCACAGAAAATAAGATTCAGCTTGGAAACATGCAAAGCCACCCGAGAAAAAGCATCTTGGGGGGAGGAGAAAAACCTGCCAGGTAACCAGGCTGAAATGCCCTGGGAGCGAGTGTAAAGAACAAACACACGATGGCAGCAAAAGAGAAGCCTTCAGGGCAGGTAGCACATCACGGTGCAGGAATACAATTGCCTTCTCTATATGGCCTGGGCAGGCCATGCCAGGCGATGCCGACATCTGGCCCTGGGCAGGCCGTGCCAGGTGACGCTGCATCCCATGCAGCTCAGGACCAGAAAGATGGAGAAAACCCCTAAGTATTTACAAGAAGGGCAACCCACCTGCTAAGGAGACTGGTGGATTGGATGTGTGGGGGGGACGTGAGTCACAACAGCTGAGAGCAGGGTGGGGGCCCATGGCAGGGAGGAAGAGGAGTGAGGGGGGGGGGAGGGATAGCTCAGTGGTTTGAGCATTGGCCTGCTAAACCCAGGGTTGTGAGTTCAATCCTTGAGGGGGCCATTTAGGGATTGGGGCAAAAATTGGGGATTGGTCCTGCTTTGAGCAGGGGGTTGGACTAGATGACCTCCTGAGGTCCCTTCCAACCCTGATATTCTATGATTCTATGATTCTATGAGTTAGAGCAGTGCATGGCTTATAACTAGGAGGAAGGCAATGAATGGAGAATACAGCCTGAATCTCTGGAAACTTTTCCCAAGTGCAAAATCTTTGCTGTGGGGTCATTTCCCAGAGGGAAGGGGAGGAAGGTCTGTTTCTTGGGACATTGAACACAAAGCTGGACAAGCCCTGAAGAATAGAATGCAGAGTACGACCCTGCAACAATCTCTGGGGAGGGGCTAGAGTCGATCTACAAGGTCTTTTCCCTCAGTCCCCACCTCTGTATGTTTGGCCAAGGAAGCAGAAACAAACTGGGTGGCAAAGTGGAATGCAAGGCGCTGCCCTACTCCCCACTGGGGCTGCTGCTGTGGGGCGCGGAATAGCGGTCAGGCTTTGGGAAGCTGTTTATCACCAGCCCTTTCCCTTCTCAGGCTGTAAAGTCTTGGGTCACCAGGTTGAAGACGTTGCTCTCCATGGACGACTGCCATTTGCCCCAGTTCCTCCGGATCTCAGCCTGCACCTGGAACAGCCCAGCAGAGAATCACCTTGGAACAGCGCTGGGAGAAGCTGGGCCTTCCCCACTTTGAGCTTCACTTCAACCCATAGGAAATGGAGGCCAGCACCCAGACCCCTCCCCCTAGGACTCATTCAGGTTTGGCAAAGGGCTTTGAGAGCCTCACCGGGAAGGGTCCACAGGAATGCAGGGTCTCATATCTACAGGCCAATGAAAGGTGGCTTTTTACATCATCAGTTCAACAGATTTAGCCTCCCAGTGTCAGAAACCCCCTCCCTCAGCACTCAGGGAGCCCCCTTTAACAGCTACAGATGGCACCAGCTGGCTGGGCTGGAGCCGAGGAGGGATGTGGTAATAAGGACACAATCCCTGTGCTAGACACCACACTGGGGAAGTTAATTAGAAAAGGAACCCTGAGCCAATACGGTGCGTGTGCACATCCTTGTGTGTATGTGTATACGTGTATGCACTGCATGTATCTGTGTGCACATGCATGTGTTCACAAGTGAATTTGTGTGCACACGTGCATGTGTTTGTGCATACATGTGTGCACACGTGTGCTGAAGGGAAATCACTCACCTCCCCATTCAGGAAGCAGTACAGCAGAGCCACCAGGAACCCCTGAAATACAACAGCAGGGGAAGAAGTTTCACAAAACAAACATGTTGCTGCATTTCTCCACCCTCCTGGAAAGCCCAAGGGCTAGACTCCTCCCATTTTATTTATGCTGTTACAAATACTCTGTGGATGTTTATCTAAAGAAGGTGGTTGCTGCTATTGGGGCCTAGCTATTCATAGGAGCCACATGGAGTTTATCTGGCTGGTTTGCAGCCCTCACAGCAATGATACATTCTGTTCCTTGGTAAGATAGGGACTGCGCCTGGGGATTCTGGGTAATTGCATCGGGAGAGGGAATCAGGGTAGTACTGAGCTGGTTACAATCACACCCTGGCTGTTAGTTTGACATGCTGCGAAAGGGTGACGCTCCGTTTGCGTTCATGGACAGTCAGACGTCTCCTTCGACTGTATTTCCCCCCCTTATTTTGTAGTTGTTCTCTTTTTTAAAATAAAAAAATAAGAGCCCATTTTCTGCCTCTGTCAGCCTGTGGCAACCCCCTCCGTGCCCTGTTTTGATGTGTGGGCAGGGCACAGGGTGCAAGGGCTGCACCTGGGTGGTACAGGGAGAGAGAATCTGGGCCCAGGTTCACAGCTGGGGCTTCTGTTATTACTCCTCTCTGCGCCAGCTGCTCCCTCACTCTCATACCTGATAGGAGCCAAGAACCAGTTCAAAATAGAGTCTTGCTTCAACGCCAATATGCTCCGGGAAGAGGGCGAACACCACGTAGTGAACCCCAAAGAGGGGGATGAGAAGCAGTGTGGATTTTGCCAGTCTCCTGGGAAGAATCAAAGTGACAGGTTCTGGTTATACAACAATCACTGGGTTCGCACTGTTAGTGAATTAAAAATGCTCTCCCCTCCCAGGAAATAGAGCTACTGGGAAAGTATTAAAACTGAATAGTGCATCTGGCCTTTCTACATCCGTTTAAATGACATCGCACTAGGTCTGTTGCAGAACAAGTGTCACTTGGGGAGGGATCAGGAAAAGTGACCCACTAGTTGGAGCCATGTTGGTCCCAGGATATTAGAGAGACAAGGTGGGGGAGGTGATATCTTTTATTCCACCAACTTCAGTTGGAAAGAGAGACAAGCTTTCAAGCCAAACAGAGCTCTTCTTCAGGTCTGGAAAAGACTCTCCGAGTGTCACAGTTAAATACAAGGTGGAACAGATTGTTTAGCATAAGTAGTTAACACATTTCAAGGGCCCATTCAAGGTGAAGTGGCCTGTTAACACACCTCCAGTCATAGGGGGAAAAGGAGAGAGAAAAAATGAAACGTTGAGGGGAGGTTGTGTTAGTGGGTTAGTGTTGTAATAAGCCATAAATCCAGTGTCTCTATTTAGTCCATGATTTTTAGTGTCTAGCACAGTTATGAATTTAAGCTCCCACACTTGTCTTTTGAAGGTTGTGCAGGTCTCCTTTGAGGATGAGGCCTGAGAGGTCAAACACAAAGTGATCGCTTTCTGTGAAGTGCTCACCCACATGTGAAAGGATGTTTTTGTCAATCATTTTCCTGTGTGAGTTTGTTTGAGAGCGTAGTGATTGTCTGATTTCACCACAGTGTTGTTGCTGGGACATTTAGTGCACTGGATGAGGTATACCACATGTGATGGGCATGTGTAGGACCCATGGATCTTGGAAGGTGTGTTTGGGGAAGGACTTTGATCATCGTCGTAGCCATGGGTGGCAGGTTTGTATAATTTCTGGTGATGCCCAAGCAGAGCCGTCCCATCCATAGGACGGATTGGGGCACTGCTCCGGGCCCTGCGCTTTGGGCGGCCCCGCGCTTCAGGGGGACAGAGAGTCCAGGGTGGCCTGGGGTGCTAGCGGGGGGCCTGGTGCTGGCAGCAGCAAGCAATCCGGCCACACCATGCCCCGCCTCTTCCCACCCCACACCCACTCCATCTCATCCTCCAAGCCCCAGCCCCTGAGCAATGCTGGGAGCCGGCAGGGTGGAGCGGAGTGGGCTGGGGCTGGGTCACTCGCTGCTGCCAGTGCCAGGCCCCCCGCTAACCCCCCAGGCCGCCCTGGACCCCATATCCCCGTGAAGAACAGGGCACCACTGTTAGAATATAGATATTCAGGCCTGTTGGTAAAGGCCTGTACTCGAAGAATTTAGGTCTATTCTTATCACTTGGCTAGTTATAGAGGTATAAAAGAAAGAATCAAAATCACTGTCTGCCAGTGTAAGGGCCTTCTCTCACTGTGACAGTCTGAGGCCCTGTGCTTAGGCTAAGGCCTTTGGCTAAGCTGCAGAGGCAGCCATAAGCTGGGAAGTGAAGGATCACCTCCTCACATTCCAAACTAGTCACACTGAAATAAGGTGCTATTGGGCTGTTAGGAATACACTCCTGTCCTGATAATGCCTATCGCCTCCAGAGAAAGGGAAGTGCCTAGAAAGTGTAAAAGGAAACTTAATTTGATAGCATCCTGTCTGGCAAGAACTCACTTATCAATAGCTGGGATGTGAAAACCTCACTTCTGTACTGTTTTGTCATTATAGTTCCCACTTTGCTATTGTTTGTCTGTATAATCTCTGTCTGGTTCTGTGATTGTTCCTGTCTGCTGTATAATTAATTTTGCTGGGTGTAAACTAATTAAGGTGTTGGGATATAATTGGTTACATAATCATGTTACAATATGTTAGGATTGGTTAGTTAAATTTCAGGAAAATGATTGGTTAAGGTATAGCAAAGCAGAATTCAAGTTTTACTATATAGTCTGCAGTCAATCAGGAAGTGAGGGGGTGGGTGTGGGGAGGGGAAATGGGAACAGGGAATGGGGGTGGGTAAATTGGAATCATGTTTTGCTAAAGGGGGAAATGGGAACAGGTAATGGGGCTGGGGAAATTGGAATCATGTTTGGCTAAGGGCAGGAATGGGAACAGGGACACAGGTGTAAGGCTCTGTGGTGTAAGAGCTGGGAAGGGGGACACTAAGGAAGGAAACTGGAATCATGCTTGCTGGAAGTTCACCCCAATAAACATCGAATTGTTTGCACCTTTGGACTTCGGGTATTGTTGCTCTCTGTTCATGCGAGAAGGACCAGGGAAGTAAGTGGGTGAAGGAATAAGCCCCCTAACAACCACCATGTTGCATGACAGACACTTAACAAAATTACCGGACTTAGTGATGGACATTGGTGTGGGGTGGGAGAGGGTATTATGTTATTCAGTCATTCAACCCATAAAATAGCACACAATTTTTCACACTGAAACCCCCCCCCCAGTAACCTGGCTAATAATAATAATAATAATAATAACAATAATAAATTCAATACATATAATTAATGAAAAATGTGTGTATATGAGATTATTATATGAGAAATGAAAATGAGCTTTGGGAAAAATTATAAATGGACTTCTTTATAAAGAAATTGTAAGTTTTCTTACAGGAAAAGCCACAAACTGTTTGGAATGGAAGAGTAGATTGAATTACTTGCCTCAGTGAAATTAAATGCCCAGAGAATTGCTTGGCCTGTGATGATGATGACCTACGATTGCTCACCTGTGGCTCCCCCTCCCGGTGCTGTGGAGGCATCTGGAAGCAGGCCCCCTGCCTCAAGTGCGGCTCCCATTGGCCAACAGGCTGGGACCCTCCCGATCAATGGGCTGGGGGGGGGAGGAGGAAGGCAGAGAAGGAGATTGTAGGGAGCAGGGGAGGTAGGGGGAGGGGAGCTGTTTCTGGAGGCACAAAGCGGGGACTCTCTGGAGAGGGGTGACAGAGGCACAGGGGTCGGTGGGGATTTTTCAGGAGGGCAGAGGGTTGTGTGGGGCTGGGGGGGAATGATGTACGGAGCCAGCTGCAGCCTGGATCTACTCTGCGGGGGGTGGGGGTGTTGCTATAGGCCCCCCAGAAAACCCCCTCTGTACCGTGTATTTTATGCCAGCCCTGGGATGCCCATCGCTGCTCCTTTCCCCCACCCCAGCTCCATCTGTCTGTCCTCACAACTCCCCAGCTGTGTCTGTGTGTCTCTGTCTGACAGTGACAGACTCCTGCTGCCCTGGCTTGTGGGGTGGTGGGGGAGCTTCCCCGAAGGAGAGTGCCCCACGTTGCTGATCCATGCCACGGGGCCCCCAAAACACGGGGCCTGGGGCCCAAACATTGGTAGAGCTGGGCCCACCTTCATGAATGTTGATGGAGAATGGGCACCACGGGCCCATATATCTCGCGACCTATGGTTGTAGCAGTGGAGATATGGCCACAGGTTTTGCATCCATTGTTCTGGCTGGGTCTCGTGCTGCTTTGAGCTGGTGTGTCTTGGTCTGTGGGGAACACTAGCAGTGCTAGTGGCTGCCACCACCATGTTACCAGGCCCAGTAACTCATCATTGTTCTTTCATTTATATAACACCCTAAAGACACATGTTGCGGAACAGGCAAATCCAATGTGACAATATCCCTGCCCAGGAAAGCTTGCAATCTAATGGCCTAATTATGCCATGAGTGAAGTTGGCAGATCTAGGCCTTATATTAAAACACCTAACTTGCAGCCAATCAGATTTGTGAGGCGGGGTAGGAGGGCGGGGGTGGGGAAAGGAAGTGTGGGTTTTATGATAAAAGATTGCCACAGTCTTAGGGCATGACCCAATAAAGATTTTCAGATATGGGACCACCACCAGCTCATGCCATGCTGACTGTGGCAACCATTTTAAACAACATTGTCATAGTCATCAAATAACATTGGTCTACAGTTGGAAATTTAAGGGATGGCTTCTTGGTGTTGCCTCAGTGTAACTTTACAATTGGTGTAAGGACACATTTTATACTAATTTTGATCATCAACATACCCTTGACAGAATTTAATCACATTTCTCTTTTTTCTTTCAGATGCCACATTGGTAGTGTGAAAGCTGCTTGGTGATTGGCTAATATTAAGTGTACACAGTAGCAAAAAGTATTAAATTATTATTGGCTATTACTAGTGCTTCAAAACGTGTCAGAAAGATACAAGCTTGTTGGAGAGCCAGGTCCATCAACAGGGACATCCCATTCCTCTAGCAAGTGTGTGCGTTGTCAGGAAGACACAGGTGCAGCATTGATTAAGTCAGCAGAACCACAAAGAGAGCATCTTGGATTTGGCTATCAAACTTTAGCAGAAAATAGCAGCTGTTTCCATAAGCTGAATGCACTTCCCCAATCCACAGATGTATGTAGATTAGATGATGGTGGTATTGAAGTGACATTGAACAAGAACAATAGACATTGGCAGAAAACCTGCTACATCAAGTTTAACAGGACCAAACCACGAGGACTGAGTTAAAAAACAACAAAAGAACTGAGAAAGCTGTGAATCACCCTGACGAACAGCAGAAGAAATATGCATGTTCAAATGACCAACACAAAGGACCTCCAGAAAAAGAAGCGTGCTTCGTTTGTCAAATAAACATACCATCAGAAGACCACCATGAAGCTTATACCTTTGGCACGGGTAGTCTGCAAGTATGTACTTCAGCTGCAAAACCAGCGCTTGCGTGCAAAACTATGTGCAGGGGACTTAGAGCCCCAAGAGGCAAAGTTCTGTGCAAAATGTTTGATGTCTCTCTATAATAAAGTCGGGAGAAGAAAACTGAGCAAAGCAACACAGCGAAGATGTCATAGAGCTTTGCCTTTGCTGAACTGACAACACACATTGAAGAGGCAAGACTGAATGAAGATGTGTCTCCAGTGTTTAAACAATTAGACCTCCCTAGGTGCTATAAAGCTAGACTAGAACACTGGCTGGGTGCATTCCCAGCGCTAAACCAAAATCCCACATCTCATCACATTTTCCAGATCT